TTTACAATCCATTTTTAAAAAGCTTCTTAGGATATGAGATAGAGGGGAATACTGTTCTGGAATTTCCTCCTTCATAAATGAGTCACACAGGGAAGAAATGCCTACTCCTCCCAATGTGGAACCAGATTGTAAACGGACGTATATACTCTATATCTCTACATGATGACATCACTACATAAAGTCACATGGGCCAAAGGCAACCAATCTGTTTGGGCTGCACAATGGCACCACTGAAGCCAATCTCTGTAAGTAAGTGCCCCAAACGATAAGCAGCTTCAGCCTTGTGCTCATTTCATCGCATTTCAGTTGCAACACCACACCGAACGCAACCTCCCTCCTCGTTCGCTACTAGAAAATGTAATCCTTGATAGTGGGGAATGCAATGAAATGGTCTTAAAGGGAAGCCTGAATCCCTGCTTGCCTTTTCAGATCTCAGTGGCTGTTACATTCGTATCCAATTGCACAAAATTTAGTTTTCAGAGAACAACCCATAATGCTGCAGAGGATTTCCCTTGCATGTGTTATGAGCCACAAAGATCATTCTCCAAAGCAGAAACAGAATGGCTTTAACTAAAGATTATTTCTTTCTCTCTCTTGAAAAAGGAACATTGTGAACTTAGATTCAAACTAGATGTCATTGTGGCAACTCCATCTTTTCCCACTGGGCCACTGTTACATTTCAAAGAAGCAGATGGATGGGTGTGTTCAATGACCTAGTTGTGTGTGTGTGTGTGTGATAGAAGTCTAACGGGAAGAAAATGCATTGCAACTGCTTTGCGATGGAAAGGAAAAGGGTGCAGGCGTCTTCTTTTCCTGCCCTCTTCATCCTCACCCACTCACTTTCTCGAAACTCAGCACAATCCATAGCCAGCCAGAAAAATCCCTGTGCTTTGTATTTATTATAATTATATATTTATATTGCATGAAATATTACTAATAATATAATAATAATGTAATATTACTACTTCTGGTCGCTTCTGGAGGCATTCCAAGTGGCCAGATACTGGTCAAAGGACATTTAATCAACTACCAAGCTTGCAAACTTTGTGTTTTGTCTGTTTGTTCATTTGTTTGTTTTGTTAAAAATGTAATACAAATGTCTGGTTGCTCCTGACACAATAAATAAAAAATAAAAAATTACTACTAATAATAATAGGAGCCCCCAGTGGCACAGTGGTTTAAACAGCTGAGCTGCTAAGCTTGTTGACCGAAAGGTCGCAGGTTCGAATCCGGGGAGCAGGGTGAGCTCCTGCTGTTAGCCCCAGCTTCTGCCAGCCTAGCAGTTTGAAAACATGCAAATGTGAGTAGATCAATAAGTACCGCTCCAGCGGGAATGTAATGGCACTCCATGCAGTCATGCTGGCCACATGACCTTGGAGGTGTCTATGGACAACGCCGGCTCTTCGGCTTAGAAAGGGAGATGAGCACCACACCCCAGAGTTGGACACGACTGGACTTCATGTCAGGGGAAAACCTTTACCTACCTACTACTAATAATATTACAATATAATGGTATAATACAATATAGTAATATTTAATACTGATGTTGTACTATGCTAAGAATATATATATATATATATTGTGTGTGTGTGTGTGTGTGTGTATGTGTGTGTGTGTATATATATATATATATATATATATAGTAAGCCGCTCTCTGAGTCCCCTTTGGGGTGAGAAGGGAGGCATATAAATGGTGCAAATAAATAAATTAATCTACTCGTTTGCCTGATACCAGATGTAACAACTATACCACTAAGAGCTGTACATTTGCTCTTCTGAAACCTGTTTGAGGTTCTTAAAGGGCAATCATTCCAAGGGCACAAAGGTTTAGCCTAAATCCAGCCTTTGTATTGTCAAAGGCTGGAATCACTGGGTTGTTGTAGGTTTTTTTGGGCTATATAGCCATGTTCTAGAGGCATTCTCTCCTGATGTTTTGCCTGCATCTACGGCAAGCACCCTCCAGCCTTTGTTTCACATCCCAAAAGTAGAACAATCCAATAAAACTTGAATATATATACAAACCAGTGGTATAATGAATAACAATAATAATATCCCAGTTGCATTGAGCCTTTCAATCACATTAATGGTATAACATTAAAATGTCACCCTCCCCAAATGGAATGGCATTGATCTCCAGGAAAGAGACCAAGAGTACATGACCTTCCAGGTGTTTCAGCACTGTATTTCCCATCATCCTGGTCATTGACCTCTGAGCAGATGAGAGTTGGGCTCTAAAAACAGCCAGAGCTCCACCGTTTCCCCAGCTCTACTCTAGAGCTTAGATCAGGCATGGGCAAACTTCGGCCCTCCAGGTGTTTTGGACTTCATCTTCCACAATTCCTGGCTTCAGGCCCTTTCCTTTTCCCTCTCAGCCGCTTAAGCAGCTGAGGGGGGAAAGGAAGGGGCCTGAAGCCAGGAGTTGTGGGAGTTGAAGTCCAAAACACGTGGAGGGCCAAAGTTTGCCCATGCCTGGCTTGGATGCTGCCTTCCTTGGACAGCAGGATCTAAAAGTCTCCCTACATTTAGTCATTGTGAGACCTAGCAGCTAAGCTTATTTGAGTGAGTCCCTTGACTTCTTTGAATTGATGGCTTCATAAAGAAATTAGACATTATGCACACATGTGATTGCCTATGCTGAACATGTGTGTAGCTCATCTTCTTGCTTGCAAGAACATTTATACAAAGTATGGATGGTAGGGGAGAAGGAGGATGGAAGAGAAGGAGCAGAGAGTGTATTTCAACAATTTCAGAAAGGCTCCACCATGCCCTTTAAATATAGCAGATTAAGACATGCTGTGTAGTTTGGGGATTGTGATCCAGACCACAACTCTCTCTAGATATCAGATTTTGTGCCGATCAAAACCTAGTATCATTGGACATAAAGAGGTTCACTTCCTGGTGAGCCACTCTCACTATTTCAATTTCATTGAGCCCTCAGTGGCACAATGGGTTAAACCCTTGTAAGACTAAAGACTGACGGGTTGGAGGTTCGAATCTGGGGAGAGCACAGATGAGCTCCCTCTGTCAGCTCCAGCTCCCCATGCATGGACATGAGAGAAGCCTCCCAAAAGGAGGGTAAAATATCAAAACATCCAGATGTCCCCTGGACAACGTCCTTGTAGACGGCCAATTCTCTCACATCAGAAGCAACTTGCAATTTCTTAAGTCGCTCCTGACATGAAAAAAAAATCATGCAGAGAAGAGCCCATAGGTTTTATAATAACGTATAGTATTATGCTTAAAAATTAATTACAGTCTTTCTCCATAATGCTACAGGATATCCTATTTTTTGCACATGACTCTATGCATGTGCACACCATTCTAATGAGTGCAGAGTGAAGAGAGAGGGGGCTACAGTTGAAGACAGTTCCATCTTATTTCCTGTGCTTTACTAATAATATAATATAATATATTGTATATACATATAATATTATAATGTAATACAATATAATGCTACTAATAATAATACAATATTATAAGTATATATTTTATATTACTACTACTACTACTAATAATAATAATAATAAAATACAATATAATATAATATATTGTATATACATATAATATTTATAATATTATAATGTAATCAATATAATACTCATACTACTAATAATATGATATTATAATTATATATTTATATTACATGTTATATTACTAATAATATGACAATATAATGGTGTAGTACAATATAGTAATATATAACACTGATATTGTACTATGCTAATAATGCAATATATTGTATGTATATATATCTTGTTAGCCACTCTGAGTCCTCTTTGGGGTGAGAAGAGTGGCATATAGATGTTGTATATAAATAAATAAATAAATAAATAAATAAATAAATAAATAAATGTTTCATAAGCAAACTCAGAGTTCTGTTATTTAGAAACATGAGCAAATATGGGTTCCTTTTCTATTGTGGATTATTATTCAGCCTTCCTTTCCAAGCAATGTCTCCACAGATATATTATGTAGTTTTCTACCAGCAACTTATGTCAGGGTGGGGACACACTATTAGCTGTATGGTCATCAGAAGTGACTTCTGTGCCTTCTGCCCATATTTGCACCAGCGTGGGGCACAAAGTGTGCATTCCAAAAGGGAAAGGCGGACATCTCCACGAGTCTATGGCCCTCCATAATCTGTGGAAGGAGGAAGGGAAGGAGGGAGGTGCAGGAAGAGCCCATACTAATCATGCCTGACAAGTTGTCTTGAAGTTTCCCCAGCAAGGTTGTTCTCTGCCGATTCCCTTCCATGCACACTCCATATATGGCAGGGCCTGCACTGTCCGAGGTGCTGAAAGGGGGGCAGGATTGCCACAGAGAGTGCATGGCAAATCAAACACAGGAGCCACAAGACAAGCTGGGAAAAGCCCAATGGAGCGATCCGGATGTGGTCCAAGAATCAAGGGAGAGAGCAGACTTCATTGTCGTGACCACCCCACCTCCCTTCCCCTCCCTCCTGTCAAACTACACACAGAGAGACACATTAAGAGTGTTGCAACTGGGTCCAGCTTGTGGCACCTGTTCCAAACATGTCAGAGACTGAATGGGACAATTAAAATGCACACAGAGACACATGCAGAGAGACACGCCGAGCCAGGCATAACATCATCCCACTGTGCCATGACTCAGTGGGGTCTTCTTAAAGGCGCCTGCAGACACTCCTCTAGTCCTGCCAGAATTTGCACTGAGATGCATCCAGAGATTTCCAAAGGGACTTCCCAGTTCCAGAGTGACAAAAAGGCCAGCTTCTCCATTCAACCGTGCCCTTCACTCATGAGCAACTCGCTTGGAAAAGAGAGGACAGACAGATCCCGTACTACACCCCCCTTTCAAAAAAAATCCACTGCACATCCAAAAGGTGCGGGATCCAGGTCACAAGAATGCATAATGCATAGCTTATTGAGAAGCCAGGAAGGAAGGAGAGAGAGAGATAGAAAGAGAGAGAGAGAAACAGAAAAGAGAAGAAAGCTCCACTGTTAATACAGAGAGACTCTTACCTTTCATCCAATCCACTACTTGTTTGGGCGTCCACTTGCTAATAGGTTCCATAACAAGGGCCATCATCAGACGACTCTGTCATTTACACCAGGAGGAGGAGGAGGAAGCAATGATGGGAGGATGGAGAAAAAGAGGAGTGGGGAGCAAGGAGGAGAAAAGATGGGTAGGTGGGTGGGTGCAAGGGAAATGCACAAAGCTCTCAGAGCATGGCTGGAGGAGGCAAAGCGAGAGGCTTTGGCGATGCCGTCCAAAAGATGTGCGGATGCTTTGTCCCTCCAGGTTCTCCTGCACTGATTCAGTAATGTATAAAATTACGCGGCTTGATCAGCTCTAGCACCTCCCCTGCTGCACACAGCCAGCAACTCTCCAGAGCTCACTGAATCAGGAAATGGTGCAGTATGTCTCTACTTACTTACCAAAAAGAGAGGGAGAGGGAGAGAGAGAGAGACAGTCTCTCTCTATCTCTCACTCTCACTCTCTCCCCACCCAATGATCTACTTAGTTCGGCTGGCACAAATGTGACATTACAATGCACACTTCAGCTCTCCAGCCCCTTTCTCCCCTCCACGCCTTTCCTTCTTGCTGTTGCAGGGTTGGCGGCAAGAGTGCTGGGGAGGGAATGGAAGAGACAAAGACTAAATCTAAAAAAGAAATAGCCTCCGATAAGATTACGAGCTGGAATCGGAGAGCAGATTGTTTCTCGCAGTGCTGTGGCAAAACATGCTGACTGTCCCCGGCTAATTTGGATGAAAGCGTGCTAGGGCTTGGCAGCTGGAAGGGGAAAAAATGCTGAGCATCTCCATATGCACAAGAATGCAGGGCATCTCCGGAATGTATAATCATCCAGTTCAGAATGCCAGAGGTAGGAAGGCCCCTGTGGTGCCCAAGCAGAGCGTGAGCCTCCCAAATTAGCACCTTCCCCATGTACCCCTGCCCATTTGCTTGCCCTGGTTGTGCAAAAGGAAAGGCATTGCCTTACAAATGAGAGTGGAAAGGAATCCCTTATACCAATGGGACAGTAAATCCACTCTAGGCTTTACTCTGAACTTTAATGGGGCTAAACCATTGGTAACTATACGGTTCCAGCCCAGTTTACCTGTCCGAACGTATTCTCCCCTATGAGCCATCAAGACAATTAAGATCTTCTGGTGGGGCCCTGCTCTTGGTCCCGCCACTTTCACAATCGCGTCTGGTGGGAACGAGAGACAGGGCCTTTTCTGTGGTGGCCCCTCGGTTATAGAACTCTTTCCTGATTGAGATCAGATCTGCCCCCTCCCTCCTGTCCTTCAGGAGGTTGGTTAAATCCTGGCTATGGAAGGAAGCATTCCTAGAGTAATGGTTGAAACCAGCTACAGAACAAAGTTATCGACCACACATACGGACTGAGTTGGATATGATTTTATTTTGGCGATTTGGCTTATTTCTAATTTTAATCAATATGTATTTTAACTCATTATTATGTGATGTTTTTAGATTGTACTATTAGCATTGAATCCTTGCTGTAAGCCAGTCTAAGTCCCTCTACAGAGGTTGAGAAGATCGGGATATAAAAGTTTAAAATAAATATAAATACTAATAGCTGGATGAAATGCTGTACGGGCCTTCTTAGTGGTGACCCCTCGGCTGTGGAACTCCCTTCCCAAGGATATTAGATCGGTTCCCTCCCTCCTGACCTTTCGGAAAAGATTAAATACCTGGCTTTTTGAGCAAGTGTTTGGAACTTCAGTGTGACCAGATAAACTCAAAGAGGTATATGAACATGGAACGGCGAAGACAATGTAAACGTATGAAGAAATTGAACCGGAAGACATTGGTTTTATATGAATTATATAGTTTTTATTGTTTCTATGGTTTTTATATGTATTTAACGTATTTATTTATTTATTTATTTGGTACACTTGTATACCGCTAATTTCTCAGCCTAGAACGGCGACTCAATTGCGGTTTACAGCATTTTAAAAACAATCTCAGTTTAAAAAACATATACAAATACAATAACAAATTATTGGGCCACCAATAATAATCCCATATATCTCAAGTTAAAATCACAATCCAGAGTTTGTTGTCCATATTTCCTGTCCATAGTCACCAAGATTCGATTTAATTGCCACAGATTAGCCGAATGCTTGTTTGAATAACCATGTTTTGAGTCTCTTCCTAAACACCATCAGCGACGAGGCTGATCGTACCTCTATAGGGAGGGCGTTCCAAAGCCGAGGGGCCACCACAGAGAAGGCCCTATCTCTCGTTCCCGCCAGCCGCACTTCTGAAGCTGGAGGGATAGAGAGAAGGGACTCTCCGGAAGATCTTAGGGTCCTGGTGGGCTGATAGGCTGAGATACGTTCGGATAGATAAGTTGGGCCAGAACCGTTTAGGGCTTTAAAGGCCAACGCCAGCACCTTGAATTGAGCCCGGTAGCATATTGGCAGCCAGTGGAGCTGGTTCAGCAAGGGAGTTGTATGCTCCCTGCGATCAGCTCCTGTTAAAAACATGGCTGCCGCCCGTTGGACTAACTGGAGCTTCCGGACTGTCTTCAAAGGCAACCCCACGTAGAGAGCGTTGCAGTAATCAAGGCGGGATGTAACCAGAGCGTGGACTACCGTGGCTAAGTCGGGCTTCCCAAGGTACGGTCGCAGTTGGCGCACAAGTTTTAACTGTGCGAAGGCTCCCCTGGTCACCGCCGAAACCTGGGGTTCCAGGCTCAGCGATGAGTCCAGGATCACACCCAAGCTGCGAACCTGCGTCTTCAGGGGGAGTGCGACCCCATCCAACACAGGCTGTAACCCTATGCCCTGTTCGGCCTTGCGACTGACCAGGAGGACCTCTGTCTTGTCTGGATTCAGTTTCAATTTGTTTGCCCTCATCCAGACCGTCACAGCGGCCAAGCACCGGTTCAGGACCTGAACAGCCTCCTTAGTAGCAGGTGGAAAGGAGTGACAGAGTTGGACATCATCTGCGTACAGATGACATCGCACTCAGAAACTCCGGATGATCTCGCCCAGCGGCTTCATGTAGATGTTAAACAACATGGGAGACAGTATTGAACCCTGAGGAACCCCACAAGACAAAGGTTGTGGGGTTGAACAGGAGTCTCCCCATAACACCATCTGGGACCGACCCTCGAGGAATGAGCGGAGCCACTGCAAAACAGTGTAAGATATGTAAGTATCTATATACGGCATCTAATTATGCCGGTTCTGTATGCCGCCCTGAGTTGCCTTCGGGCTGAAATGGGCTGGATAGAAATGACATAAATAAACACATAAATAAATAAATAATAGGAACAGAGCACTGAGACTTTTCAATAAATGTCAGGGATGGTGACATTTTTGCCACTCTCCTCCTGATTTTCCATTTCTATTGCTGTAATCCTTGTATTATAATCATAGTATGTAGTTGAATGTTGGAGCCCTTGGTGGCGCAGTGGATTAAACTGCTGAGCTGCTGAACTTGTTGATTGAAAGGTCACAGGTTCGAATCTGGGGAGTGGGATGAGCTCCCGCTGTTAGGCCCAGCTTCTYCCCACCTAGCAGTGTGAAAACATGCAGTTTCCAGTAAATCCATGGCAAAAATTCAATGTCTTACAACATATATATATATATATATATATATATATATATATAGGGAGCTGCTGGTGACACAGAGGGTTAAACCATTGAGCTGCTGAAATTGCTGACCGAAAGGTTGGCAGTTCGAATCTGGGGAGCGGGGGTGAGCTCCTGTTGTTAGCCCCAGCTTCTGCRAACTTAGCAGTTCAAAAACATGCAAATGTGAGTAGATCAATAGGTACTGCTCRGGTGGGAAGGTAAAGGTGCTCCATGCAGTCATGCTGGCCACATGACCTTGGAGGTGTCTACGGACAACGCCGGCTCTTCGGCTTAGAAAGGGAGAACACCCCAGAGTTGGACACGACTGGATTTCATGTCAGGGGAAAACCTTTGCCTACCTATTACTAATAATATTACAATATAATGGTATAATACAATATAGTAATATTAATATTGATATTGTACTATGCTAAGAATATAATATATATATTGTGTGTGTAGTGTGTGTGTGTGTGTGTGTGTATGCTGGCTGGACTTAATGTCAGGGGAAAACTTTTACCTTTAACTAGTTGCCTGTTGTTCATATTCCAAAACACTTGATTGGACAGTTAAGATGCATTGGCTTTGCAAAAGACCCGCCTCTTTTGGAGATGAAACTAGCTTGAACTGGTTTCTTGCTATAGCAGAACACATCTGTCTGCATTTTTTGATTATTCTTGGTGAAGCAGCTGTAGAAACTGGCATAATGAGTAACACACATAATGAGTAACCACACATTTCAGAATTGACCGTTGCATCAATACTGTGCTGAAAACAAAGGTAACACTAGACAAATCTCTGGGTAATGGGTTCTTTGTTCATTTAGATGAGCCTCGCAGGGCTATCTAGCACTTCACACAGCAGATGCTTTCTCTGTTGTGGTGTTAAGGCAGCATGTCTTATGACAATCTGGCTTTCGCATGCCAAAATGTGTGATCGCAATATATTCTTTTTCACAGAAAAGAGAGAGCCAATTGATCTGAGCATCTTTCTTGCCTTTGCAAGCTATCTGCTTACATGCATTTTTTAAAAAAATTGCTTTCCCAAGCTCTTTTTCTGGGAACATCCAATCAATGATTTCCATCCTATGGAAATTAGTTTTCATGGGCTTCAAATGGAAAGGGATGTCTTGACTCAGCAGGAAATGTTTGGAGTGGAATCCCTTTGGTGACATATGTGTATTTAACTAAATAATAGGGCTCGTTGTCAGGAGCATAGAGGTGCCACCAAAGCTGAAAGGTTGCATAGAGGTTGGCACCTACCAAAGGGAGATTTTGGATGAACTGCCTGACTAAATCCTCCCTTGCTCCCCAAAAGATGCACACCAAAGCAAGCCTGAGTTTTATGGCCACTTGTCACCAATAGCATTCAAGACCTGCTATGCCAAAGTTTAGACATTCTGAACAACATTAAAATACATTTCCATAAAAGCAAAATCATTTCTGCATTTGCTGTGTTTGCATTCCCGTGGTAACTTTGCATGACTATTTTCATTGAGTGCCTATTTCTAAATGCTTACATGGAGTTTTCAATGACTGAAATTAAAACTGAGGACAAACCTCTTCTTGGGTGAGTCATACTCTCACTTTGGTTCTCTCCATGCAGGTATATCCCACGTTCATGATCCTGAGGAGATATCACAACAAGCACCTGAAGAATATAATAATAATAATAATAATAATAATAATAATAATAATAATAATAATAATATAAATAAATATATAAGGTAAAGGTTTTCCCCTGACAAGTCCAATCATGTCCATTTCTGGGGTGTAGTGCTCATCTCCATTTCTAAGCTGAAGAGCCAGCGTTGTCCGCAGACACCTCCAAGGTCATGTGGCCAGCATGACTGCATGGAGCACCGTTACCTTCCCACCAGAGGAGTACCTATTGATCTACTCACATTGGCATGTTTTCAAACTGCTAAGTTGGCAGAAGCTGGGGCTGACAACAGAAGCTCACGCCGCTCCCTGGATTTGAACCTGTGACTTTTCAGTCAACAAGCTTAGCAGCTCAGTGGCTTAACTCCAAATAAATATATAATTATATATAAATAATAATAATAATTTATTTATATTCTGCCCTATCTCACTGGAGGGACTCAGGGTAAATTCCAATCAAGAAAAAGGTAAACATTCAATG